AGTACACCACAGCTTTGATTTAAGAATTGATGATTTTTCCTCGGAAAGCTTTCTTTTCCTTTTTCACGATTACTTTTGGTTTGTCTTTTCGGATCAATTTAGGTTTGTGGGAAACTGCCCACCTACCCGTCCCCTAACCCATCATTTTGCCCAAAGTAAGAATTAAGTGTTAATATTAGCTTAGGGGAGGGGTAGGTGGCAGTTTCCCAGATACTTAAATTGATCCTTTTTTTCTTATTTTTTTATCCAGTTCATCCTCAATTACGTTTGTCATCTAGCCGACTAATGGCGGAAGAGGGGCAAAATGTGACAATCTTCTCCAATGCTTCTGGTCAACCACAACCTAAGGTCACGTGGTCAAAGGCCGTTGGGAGTTTGACGAAAGAAAGAACCTCCGTGGTAAAAGGAGCTTTGAAAATCTGCAAAGTGACGAAGGGCGACGGTGGAACATATGTGTGCAGAGCACAAAATATTCTGGGGTCAGTATCTGTCGCTGCTCAACTAATGATATTCTCCCCTTTGCGCTTTAGAATCCGTCCTCCTCAAGTGGTGACTCCCTTGTTTGGTTCAACTCTACGTCTACCGTGTGAAGCAGAGAGTGACCTGAGACCGAGAATTACCTGGACAAGGGATGGCAAGTCTTCACTTCCTGTGAGCTCTTTTGTTCTACAGAAAGGGACACTTGTAATTCAAAACATTGAGAAATCGCACCAAGGACTTTACACCTGTAGAGCGAGTAATGCTGTGAAAACAATAGAAGCTAAAGTCAAAATCAATTCCCCAGTTGCAGCTTCATCCTGTTCTGCGATAAGAAAACACGTTAGCAGTTTAAGCGGAAATTATCTCATTGATCCTGATGGCAAGGGAGGCCTGGCTTCATTTTCTGTTTATTGTGACATGAAAGACAAGAATGGAATCGGCGTGACAGTCATCAATCACGACAGTGAGAGCAGGACATATGTGCCTAGTCAGAACCGTCTTCGTGATATTCACTATACAGGAGCGAGTCTGTCTCAGTTGGCCAGTCTCACCAGTGTCTCCTCACACTGTGAGCAGTTTATTAAGTACGAGTGTCACGACTCGGGTTTATACCTTCACACTCCAACTTCATGGTGGGTATCACGTGATTCCGCTAGGATGACGTACTGGGGTGGAGCATCACCTGGCAGTGGCAAGTGCGCATGCGGGATGACCAACTCATGCGCAGACTCCAGGTTTGGCTGTAACTGTGATAAGGATGACCATACATGGCATGAAGACAGCGGTTTGCTCACTGACAAGACAACTCTTCCAGTAATACAGCTCTATTTCGGTGATCTTGGTGGGTCCACAGAAAAAGGCTATCACACATTGGGAAAATTGAAGTGCTATGGCATAGCATGAACATGTTTTAACCTCAATTTTTTCACAAAATGATTTGAATAGGAATTCACTTGACGTCAGGTATCTACGACATATTGGTGGAAAAATATTATTTTAAGGGTTCTCAAATTTGTAACAGTAATTTGAAATTTCGTTATTACGACTGTGCAGGGATAGCTGAACTAACATCACAATGAACTATTCTAGTCATTGTAGGGCTCCCAGGTAGTCCTTTATCCCATAACTATCAATTGACCCAGCTAAAGGGTCTGTAATTTGCGAAATGGGTATATCAGTTCATATCGTTTCTAAAATAATGTTTCACTGCCCTGCATCTGCATCGCAGTATTATAGTTACAATTTAAAACCTCTGGTCATAGACTAACTTAACAATGCGGCGGATCGATTATATGATTCAAGACCGAATGGACCTTTATTTCCATACATTCATTGGTATTTTATTTTAATGTCAATTGATATTCCAGCCTTTTTGAAAGCATTTGCAAATTTCAAAAGCCTGAATCCTAACCCCGAGATTAGGCCTAGAGGTTAATTAACCTAAAGAAACCAGAATAGTCAAATGAGATTGAATAGGTCTGTCTGTCAGAATCCGGTAAGTCTTTTCACCATTATTCATTGCGAATTGTTACAGAAAAATAGAAAAATAATAATAGTGATTTAATTTAGTAGAAAATGTTTAGTGAAGTTTGACTATAATCTGTTAAAATGCCTTACAAGAGCGTCTCAGAGAAATGAGATCACTTCGAAAAAATTAAGGTGGTCTTTAACTACTACGTTATCTGTGACAGACGACCGCGCGTGCAACGTCGTCATTCTTTTCCTCAGCGCCACATAAATGTACAAGCGGCGGGCGAAACATTCAAATTAAAAACGCGAATTAACGTGCTTGCGATCTACTGTGACTACAAAGAAAAATAAGAGACCGCTCGCAGTCTACTGTGAGAGAGTCGAAATGCAGGATTTGACTTAGCCATCCACAGAGCTTAGCCTTCGAGCACAGCAGGACGCCTTTCTCGGCTTTCCAGCCAGCCGAAGGGTGGGGGAGATGGGTACTCAAGAAAGTTTTATACAGGGGGGCTTGGTCCGGAGGTCCAACCCCTTACTCTTTTATTTGCTATTGTTGACAGAAAAGGTACCCTTTGGTATACTTTCTATTGATAAATGGTACTCCTTTCACATACCACAAGTTTAGAGGTCCAATCTTTTAAATTCACTGTATTTAATAAAATACAGTCGAACCCCGCCTTACGGCCACCTCGGTAATACGGTCACCTCGTTATTACGGCCACTTTTTGTAGGCCTGGCAAAACGGCCATACATTTACTTATAAAAAAAACCCCGTTAATGCGGTCACCCGTTAATACGGCCAACGACCTCATTTTAAAATCGGAAACAGTATAGAATCTCTTATAATTTTTAAAATGCGGCCACTTGTTCTAAATTCAGAAAATTAAAATGCCTGTGACATGTCAATTTTATTGACCTTGTAGTCTGAGCCTGTTCTTGTAATGTTTTGAGACTGCAATACACATAAAGTGCATTTGTTGCGATTTTATAGCTAAATTTTAAAAGTGTTTTATTAACTGAGGAAAATTTTAAGTAGTTTTTTTAACTACTGTACCCGGTATCTTAATTCCGTATGTTTATTAATGAGAACAGTTGTTAGAGAGATTTTGGTATGAACTTGACATGAAAACGCGCGAACAAAACAGAAACAGCAAACGAACGTAAATAGAGCGATTTGATTGGTTTATCGAACGGATGCAAACGCACGTGGTTTTTGATTGGTTAAGCGAACGCTCGGGTGAAAAAACTTCATGTCCGAGAACTTTCTAGAAACCAACCGATACTCCGCTTTAACGTCATACTACAACACGATTGGCTAATCGAACAATGCCTTCTCTATATTAGGGTTTTCTTTGGCGGGAAAACGAAGACGACATGTTTTGATCTTTTCACCTATTGGCTGATAAAACAAATAACGAACACTTACCGAAACCACTTTGTACGATATTCGTTTTGTCATTACGGCCCTCAAGTCATGAAATTATTAACCCTGGTTTCTTTGACGTGACGCATGTACAACAGGCTTGTAAGGATGTTCTAAGATGGAGGCAACCATACCCGACTTCGGACTACTTTAGAAAAGAATTTTAAAGTCTCTGGAAAATATTTCAAAGCTGAAGCTTTCGGTTGAGTAACTTATTCTTGTGATAACTTTTGGTGGCAAAAAGAAAAAAATAAGTCTCTGATAAGTATTATTTCGGAATGCAGATCTGGTTTTAATAACAGTGAGCTAAAAAGCATGCCAAGTTCGATTCTCTCTTTGCCTTAGAAGGAAACTGGTTGAGCAAATGTAAAACAGAGCTCGGATGTGCAAAATTTAAGAAGATTACGAAGGATTGCAATAGGGATTTTTGAAGCTTAACGATAGTTTCCCCCACAACCTCTCAGCTTATGTAACGAATACGTCTTCAGAGACCACGTGACCACAAGAAACTATCGGTAATAGGGGACGAGAACGACCCAACGTCTTTTCAAAAATTTACATCTATTTTGTTTTAAATATAACGCTCAGAAAACCTAGTTTTTTTTTGTCGCAAAGATCTAATAGTCGTAATAATCTTGTTGCTGTTTACAAGTTATGAGATATGTCTTCAACATGTTAAATTCCTTAGTTAAAATAGTTAAAACACGTGTGCGTTTGGCAGGGCTAAACAAGAGTGCTTTGACTTTCACGATTTGATTTTGACTTTGATTTCACGACACAGCTCAACTTCGTTCTTAGGGCTTGTTCCCTTAGAAAATGGGAAAAAGCCCTGGAAACGAGGTTGATCGACACAGCTTTTTTAAAGTACTAAATATAGGATGTACAACTTTCTTTTCGAAATTCGAACGCCTTTTCTTGTAGGCTCGAACATTCTTTACAGAAGGTTCCAAATGTAATGTTAAAGTAATTTTTATGTCGCGTAATGGATTCTGGTAAATCTAAGGGCTGTTTGCTGCGGCTGCATGATTTGTCCTCGTCGTGCGGTGTTCCATAACATTCCCTGTGTGCAGAATCCACACTGATGGCCTTTTCGCTGTAAAACACCTCAACACCGTGGTGATAGGGACCAGATTTTATGGTCGGTAGGATCAAGGGAGGAAGATGAGGCACTATGTCGTCAAAATTTACAACCCTCCAACTGTTGTTGACTAACTGATCGTGTTGCAGAGAGTATTTGTAGTCGCCAACTCGTGGGCTCCCAAACGTGTATAAGATGATGTTTTGACGTGCAGCGATGTTGTAAGAAGCAAGCGATGCACTCGCCAAGGACGCTAAGGCAGCACCAAGAGAATGCCCTGTAACCCAGACCTCATACGAGGGATTCTTTGAAACTAGAGCTTTCACTTTCAGCTCCATGCACTGCCATAAATCTTCAAAGGCCGTCTTGAAATAGGCCTGAACTTTGCCATTAAGAAAATCTTGGGGTGGGGTAAGAATGGTCGCTACCAATTCATTGATAAGTCGACATGTGCTTTCAGTTCCGCGAAACGCGACGACCAACACTCGCAAAGAATGCGAAACCGCTACNCCTGGAAACGAGGTTGATCGACACAGCTTTTTTAAAGTACTAAATATAGGATGTACAACTTTCTTTTCGAAATTCGAACGCCTTTTCTTGTAGGCTCGAACATTCTTTACAGAAGGTTCCAAATGTAATGTTAAAGTAATTTTTATGTCGCGTAATGGATTCTGGTAAATCTAAGGGCTGTTTGCTGCGGCTGCATGATTTGTCCTCGTCGTGCGGTGTTCCATAACATTCCCTGTGTGCAGAATCCACACTGATGGCCTTTTCGCTGTAAAACACCTCAACACCGTGGTGATAGGGACCAGATTTTATGGTCGGTAGGATCAAGGGAGGAAGATGAGGCACTATGTCGTCAAAATTTACAACCCTCCAACTGTTGTTGACTAACTGATCGTGTTGCAGAGAGTATTTGTAGTCGCCAACTCGTGGGCTCCCAAACGTGTATAAGATGATGTTTTGACGTGCAGCGATGTTGTAAGAAGCAAGCGATGCACTCGCCAAGGACGCTAAGGCAGCACCAAGAGAATGCCCTGTAACCCAGACCTCATACGAGGGATTCTTTGAAACTAGAGCTTTCACTTTCAGCTCCATGCACTGCCATAAATCTTCAAAGGCCGTCTTGAAATAGGCCTGAACTTTGCCATTAAGAAAATCTTGGGGTGGGGTAAGAATGGTCGCTACCAATTCATTGATAAGTCGACATGTGCTTTCAGTTCCGCGAAACGCGACGACCAACACTCGCAAAGAATGCGAAACCGCTACATAACCAGCACACTTGTTATCGAGGAAGTCACACTTCTTTGTAACAACTGTTTGAAGTTGAAATTTGGTTGATGGCAGGTATTGATCAAGACAATGCTGAGGGTGAGATTGATCATATGCTACCGCTGAGAGAATCGCCATCTTGTACGACAGTTCAGGATTATAACACATCACGCGCCTTTCATTATCACCGTTGTAACCATTTCTTCCACAATCGCCTTTGATGAGGATAGGATAAGAGAAAATAAAGACAAAAGCAAGTCCAATATGACTATTGACACGAATATAAAAATCATGCATTTTTGTCGATGAATCTTGTTCTGTCTGATGCCGATTTAGTCCTTGCTATGATCTTAGGCTAGTAACGTTTGGAATGCCTTGAATTTTATTGTACCTGCGTAGAGCGACGCCAACCATTCTGTGACCAACTGTTTTGCTGTATCGGCTTTCCTTTTATATTCTACTGAAAGCTGTTACGGGTAGTATTAAAGTACTACGAGATCAACATAACGCTATTTTTATACGTTTTTGACACTGTTGTCAGTCTTATTCAGCACTTCAGTTGACGGGTTCTTTGTACAGTAGAAACTAATAAATATATCATCGTAACTTAAAAAACGAAACAGAAGAAAAAGAATAAGATGAAGAAAGATGGAGAAAGATACAAAATTGCGTTTCTCTTTCTTTCTTTAATTTCGGTTTCGTCGAGCGGACTCTGCTTGGTTTTCTGATTCGAATTCATTAGTGGCAGGGGCGGATCTAGGGGGGGAAGGGGGTGCGCACCCCTCCTGAGATGACCTGCGGTTTTCTAATACAACTGGTATTCTGCAAAAAAAAAAAACGATGTGGTTTATCGGTGTTGAAGTAGAGCAAGAGATGAGTGCACCCCCTCCTAAAAAAAAATCCTGGATCCGTCCCTGAGTGGTCATCCGATCCACGGCTACTAATATAAATAGATCTCACTCTAATCGATCGTCCTACAAAGATTTAAGTTCTGTCCAACTACGATTTTTAATTTTACAGTTGCATCAGGGATTGAAGGGTCACAAGTTTGTCAGGCCGTGGATATCAAAAAGAACTAATTGTCGAAACAAAATCCTCTTAAGCCCCGCCGCGAGATTGCAGGTCGTCATTAAATCACGAGTTAGTCTTGATCAACTCCAAGTTGTGTACCAATGCCAAACTCGTGCTTATTAGTGCCATCGTTTTTTACTTTCAGTCTCCGATACTTCTGTGTGCCGTAGAATTATGTGCAGTCTTAGCTAACATATTGAGTAATTGTTTATTCGTGGTGCTTTTCTTTAAAGAAAAACTAAAAAAAGACAAAAAAGCGTATTACGTTCATATAAGGAGGATAGTGACGATATAACACAGTGTCTTTCTAAGACCCCCCAAATAGCCAAATTTCCCAACCGTGATCAGTATGTGCAGTCTAAGCTTACATTGTTGAGTAATCGTTTATTCATGATCTTAACTTGTTACAAAAAAAAAAGAAAATGGAAATAAATAAATAAAACCAAACCAAACAACAACAACAACAACAAAAAGCGGAGAGGGAGAAAGATAAACGATATGTATCAATTTCGCTAAATAACAGAATAACAGAATTGAACAGCAAAGGGCCCGGATATATATTTAGGGAGGATGGTTTACCGATGATATCACTATAAAAAAATTGGCCCAGTTTCATAGCAATTAACTTCCTCAATACACTCGATTGATACAAACCATAAACAATAAAAGCAACAGGACTTTAAAATTATAGTTTGTTAGCATTGTAAGTTTAAAGTGCTCTTTGTGCGGACGCATTCCAAGAAGCTTTCTTTGCTCATGTTTACTCAGACGTCTTTTTAAAGAACGTGGGCATATTGCCAACATAGCCATTGTTTTATAGGATCATGTAGAAAACACTCAGATAATCCTTACAGCAGGTTAAAGCTAATCTCGATAAATCCCGATTAAACCACATTGGGCAACAAAGGTACGTTTGAAGTGCGTGGGCTTTTTTGAAGTGCTTCGTACGTCCGTCATTCCTGCCATTATATAAAGGCCTCAAGTAACTACCTCGGCGACAGCAACAAAAAATTGAACAAAAGTGGAATGGTTAATAACAAAGGCTTGTTTTCACTAGCGACAGAGTCGGATAGGAGTCATAATCAGAAGCGTAGAACTTTTAACGATCTAGTGAAAACAGCGTTCCGATTCTGTTTAAGACTCCGTCGCTTACGATCAAGTGAAAACTAGGTTGTCGGAGTCGCAAGCAGAAGAAGAAGAACTAATGAACTAAACCAATCACAAAGCTTGAGAACTTGCATTGTGATTGGTTTATCCTTCCGCTTCTGCTTCAAACTCTGACAATCAGCTGGTTTTCACCGGATCGTAAGCGACGGAGTCCTAAGCGGAGTCGGAAGAAAAGTGATTCTTCCGTTGGCCTTAACCCTCGGCCTACCTTCAACCAGGGGGAACTGGAAGCTAGTTTGCGTTACTAGCTTGGTTACTAAGCAGCGTGGCAAATTCATTCAAAATGGCGGGAGAAACAAATCTTCGGTGATAAAGTAGATTTCTGACAACAAAGCACGTTATAATGCAAACTTTGGACGTCTATAAGAAGGAGGAAGGAAAAATTTGGCAAAGAAAACCTTCTCCATCTCCAGAGGAAGGGTAAGATGGTATTTATCGGGTGTTTGAATCACTCCAGCACGGCTGCTCAAAAATAAGTTAACTAAGCTTTTAAACCTTTTCGTGTCATTTGTTCATTTCTAGTTTAATTGTCTCCGTAAGCCATTCCACTACCAGTGCCTTTTCATTACAAGGAAGGAATATCAGATTCCTTCGAACAGCGTTCAATACAACTGGTGAAGCTTTTACCGCTGGTGATCATCAAGGAAACATTTTCGTCTTCGACTTAGGGAAAAATAGGTAAGTGAATCGAAATTAAAAATCAAGTTCTGATGAACAGCGGAATGAACGATCGCTAAGCTTGTAAGCCTGCCCAATGTGTTTAAATACAATTGTTATCAGGTGGAAATGACGTTAAGGGTCTGCTTACAATTATTTCTTGATGATAAAGATTCTACTTCAGTATATCTACCAAAATTTTCTGAGTGAAACGCGTAAGATTTTCGTCTTGTCATGACTGGGATTTCCGAAAACGTCCCAGCGACTTTCGGGGATTTCCGACGACTTCCGAAGACTTCCGAAGATATTTCGACGACCTATGAACACCTCCGAAGCTCAACATATACACCTAAAAACATTAAACGTACTTGGTTGCCTGAGTTTATATCTGGGTTGGTCTGTCTCTGGAGGACTAGATGGTGGAGCTTGTGAGATGGAATGCACATGTTGTTGAATAGCTTAGAGCAAGCTGCTTCTCTCCTACTGCCCAGGCTGGAGAGGTTGAAGCGACTGAGGTTGTTCTCATAGTAGCACTCTCATAAGTTCCCTCTTCTGAACCCTCTCAATGTCCTTCCGGAGGTATTTAGGTAATGCATGATGAAAAACTGGCAAACAGTATTCAAGAATGGACCTAACACACGTAGGTGGAATATCGTCTCTACAGAGTAAGATAAGATAAAACACGTGTTTGTTTGCTTTCTTAATGACCTCTTCAATATGAGCATTTGTCAGCACTTTGGGCGTGGCTCACCTCTCCACAACATGTAATTTCGACAATGGTGGTATCGTCGACGTATTTCCACATTGACATGTCTGGGATGTTGAGATTGTTGATCATCAGGAGGAAGAGCCATGGTCCAAGTTTGGTCCCTTCGGAAACACCAGCAGGTACTTGGCCCCTCTCAGAAAGGCAGACTGACCCCAGCTTCACACGCTGTTTCCAGCTGGATAGAAAGTCTATAACCCAACACAAGACTCCACGAGGAATGTCTAGTTTGAGGATTATATGGTGATCAATATTATTAGATCAAAGACTCTTCTGTAGTTGAACACCACAACACTTACATGTACCACAGAACCGGTACCATCAGTCGCCATAGTCCAGTGATGGATCGTAGATAATAAGGCCAAAGTAGTCAAAGACTTAGGGATTCCTCCATCCTGATCGCGGGATACCCACTTAATAACTATTGTCTTTTCAGCAACTGTAGGAGTGCACTCGTCTTACTCACTTAGCTTTAAATATTTCGCATAACAGAACAATGAAGTCCTGTGCGACTGCAGGAGTAGTTTTTCAAGTAAGGGATTTTGTGGGCTGGGTATTCTGCAATCGCTCCAAAATAAAATGATAAAACTGTTATTATAAAAAAATTGCTCCTTTGATGTATTGAGTAACTGAAAAAAAGAATCTAAAAAATCCAACACCAAATTTCCGCACCTTAACAAGGTTAGTTGTACTTTATTTGCAGAACTACACAACCAAGATATGTGGGCACTACCACATGAACAACACATGAACAAATCTTCAGATTGTTTTGAATACCCTACTTAAATTAAGGCACCTAAAATACTCGCCAAATTTCCTACTGCAAAAAATCCGGTAACCAAAAATTTCAAACCCCAAAAATCCTTCTATCATCCCGGTTACTTGAAATACAGAGTACATGTACCCTTTCTGGGTATATACTCAGACACCTCTACATAAATATGTATCAAGTGGACTCTATCAAACTTCCTGTGGGTGTCTACTTAACCCTTGAAGCCCTGATATCCACTTACAAATTCTCCTAACTGATCAAAGGATTTTCCTTGGTTGATCATTGTATTAATTCTCATAACCTTTTCTCTTGATTGTGTATTCAAGTGATATTGTAAGGAGAAAATCAATGTTGGTCACTCTTGGGACTTACAGGGTTAATACTGGTTTTGCTGTTTTATTAAAAAAAATGAACCAAAGATATGAAGTAAATCTGTACACTGTACATACTTACTTTATTCACTTTCCTCCTTCAGGTTTTCATTGATTCACAAAACAGGGACACCATGTACTGCCATTTCCTTTTGTCTCCAGAGAAAAAATGAAGTACTGGTGGCCCTTGCTGATAACTCATTAAGGTGCTATGACATAGGTAGGTATTGGACAGCTTACAACACTCATGCCAGGAAAAAGTGAAGATCAGCTTTCTCACACACTTGTCAGTGAGCTGTTGACCAACAAAGAGCTGTCATGCAAGGACAGTGGGCCAGTTTCAGCTGACTGTAAACCAACAATTGGCTGTCAGTTGTGGTAATCTTACATGCATATCTAAAAGTGATTGTGGACTATCGGCCATGTTGTCAGTTTCAATTTACAGTGTACCTGTTTGTGACATGTCCATACTTTGTTAGTTTGAGGTTGTCACCCTGTCCCCCACCCCACCCTCCCGAAAAAATTCTTTCCAAACTTTTTGTTGAGCTTACTGGCTTGTAGCCAGTATCACTCTATGCTATTGTTTGCATAAAAATGAATAAAATGTAAGGTCATTTCTATTGTTCTTGTATGTACAGTAATGCGTAACCTTCGGAGCTGAAGGGGCTGGGTTTGATACCTGCTATCACCCATTTTTTTTACTAAGTTTTCTAAAGCATTGTTATGACAAGGAGGAATTTGATACTGATTGTTCCTAGGGCTGTTTAAAAAGGTTATGTTCTGTTATTTTAAAGACATACAAATGTATGGTGTTTGCATTTGTAAGGAATGGTCTTTGAAATATCATAAAACAGAAAATGTGCTCTGTTTTTGACTTGTGATAATTCTTGAATTGGTTTTTTTATTAAGGTGTTTGTTGATACAGTTTTTCGGAGACCATACCGATATATGAATATTTTTTTATTGTTGGTAGAATTAAACATTGGAAATCACAATGTGGGAAAATGCAAATTTTACTATGTAAACATTCAATTAATATGTCACAAATGTGCATAATTTCGAAACAACTGGCATTAGTATAAATTATTACTTTCCCTGTGGTCACCAAGCAAACCTTACCTGCTATAAGGGACTTGAAGCATGTAACAAACAGTGACAAAAAGTGCATATGGCAATGCCAATTAGAAGTTGCTACACAACGTGACTGCCTTCAAGAACGATTTTGTTTTGCATGCACATGATTTTTGCACAGAGTATTCATTGCCAGTAAGTCTCAGAGGACTAATTTTTAATATACACTGTAATAAGAACTGTTAAGGCAATGAGTGTATTGAACTAGTTGTGACACCTGCACAATCCTAGGGAGAATAGACCTGAGAGGCCTGTGGTTGTTCCGACATTGAGATTACATACAGCTGTACCCCTTCTCTGTGGGCGAGATCAGGACTGGCTTGAAGTTGAATGTAGATTTGCTACTGCTAAAGTGTACATAATGTACTCCTGAAAAATTAATTATCTGACTTCCCCACACTTCATATACAGTCAAACCATTAATTTAATACAGACACTGAGGCAGCCATAGAAATTAAGTGTCTGTATTAACAGGGTGTCTGTTTTACTTGAATTAATTAATTATTTATTATTTATTATTATTAATTATTAATTGTTATTATTATTATTATTTTTTTACTATTTATCCCATTTTAGAGTCTCATGAATTAGTAAGCTGGATGCGAGGCGATGACTCGTCAATCCACAGTATATCAGTCCATGCTTCAGGTCGTTATGCACTTACGTCATCTAACTCTATAGCTCAACTTTGGGACCTTGACACATTTTCTCGCAAGAGGACATTAAATGGAGCTCAGACTGTTGGAATTCAACAGGTCAGGATTTAATTGTACATGTACCATTAATTTGTTTTGTTTTGTTTTTTAACCTGTTGCCAGTTTTTTTATTATTTATTATTTTTAATTATTATGTACTATTCACACCTGTTTAAGATAGGAAACAGATACTTGTACACTGTATTAGGTTTCTCGACATACAATAAATAATTATTTGGTAGACTTTACATGGACCATTGAATGCAGTTGGAAAAGCAAGGAGCTGTTGTCTGGAGAAGAGATGCAGAAAAGGAGCAATGCTACATACATGTAATACATGTAGCTGGTTTTAAAGTTTGTAGGATAGGTTCACAGGCAGACACTCACTACTTTTACTGTTGCTCGACAACAATACCAGGCTTCTTGATGGTGAGGGAAAACTACACTGTAACATTCTCTATAATTCCTTTTTTTCTCAGGTCCTTTTCTTACCACTGAGTAACACTATTGTCACCTGTTTCAAAGATGACAGTTTGTTTGTGTGGGATTCAGAAACACTCAAGTGTAAATTTCAGTTGCCAGTTCCACCACAGGAGAGCAAGCAGCATCATTACAGGGCTTTAGCAACCCCTAGGGACGGAAGGTTGCTAGTTGCTGGGGGAAGGTGAATCCTCTATGAGATAATTTTTGCTAATTATTGCATTTTAATAGCTTATACCCCTGTATGCACTGTGTAGCTACATGTATTTAAAATTTGTACAGTAGATCTACACCTTCCAAGAACTTTTGATCATCCGTAGTTTCAGAACTGAAGATACATGTAACATGTTCAAATTAGTTTACAAGTTTTCACCTATTGCTAACTTGTTTTCATCTTTGAATCAAAGTACAGAATAATATAATGATAATTAGCCAGCTATCTCCTGTTATCATGTTTTGGTTGAGTTGTACCTGACCATAACTGTACATGTTTTTTGGAAAAAAAATCTCTTCAGATTTTCATGTATACGTATAGGATTGATGTATGAATTCATGACTCGCATGTTTTACGCATGTTAGATTTTGAATGTAAAAATTTTGTACATTTGTATATCACTGATGTTCTTTTAATTTGCATGTAATTATAATCATTTTTGAGTGCCATTTCCAAATCACTTGACAGAAAACTGTAATGATAAATTTTTCTTTGTACATGTAACTATCCAGATCTAGATTTCTCCATGTGTGGAGTCTAGAGAACAAGAGTCTTCTTCATGTCATTCAGCTTCCTGCAAAAGTGCGACTTGTAAGGCAACTAGAGTTCATAAACAACACCTTTGATGGAGGCACAAGTCAGGTAATAGATTGCATGTGCCACAAATATTGATACACGGTCCTACACATTGAAAACAGCGGGTCTAAATCACAAGTCACTTTTCCACCTGGTCAGGGCACAGGTTAGCATGATACAGATAAATCAAGGGCATTAAAAGTGTCTCCTAGCCGTAATCTCTTTAACAAAAATGCTCTATTAGATCCAGGGGATCTGTGTGGTTTGGTAAGTTATCAATGGAGCAGTGACCTGTACTCTTGACCTGTGGAGTGTGACCTGTACTTTAGACAGACAACATTGAAGTCCGGTGGCATAAACCGCGGCAGGATTAGCTCAGTCGGTAGAACGCTTGACCGTAGAGCAGGAGGTCGTAGGTTCGATTCCCGGGGCTGGACCAATACTCAGGGTCTTAAAATAACTGAGAAATGAAGGTACTCCCTTTGCCCTGCAGGCGGCTGGACCTTTGCGTGACTCGGATGACCACATAAAATGGCGGTCCCGTCTCCGTTAGGAGACATAAAATATAGTGTCCCCAATTAGCACTTTCGTGCTAAATACATTGACACTCAAATAAGGTGCTTATTATTATTATTATTTCTTTGCTGGACTTGGGTTCTAATTCTCACCACATGTTTCCCTTCTCCTGCATGTTAATGAGACTGTCGTTCTCTAAGAAGGCTTAAACTGGGTTAATGAAAATAAAGTTCTTGTTGTTGGTGGTGATGTTTTTCTTCACTCCAAATACTTGTAAGTAGTCTACAACGCCTGTAATTTTTGTTAATATTAGAAAGGTTAAGGATCCTGACTGTTTTACATGTAACTGGGCAAATACATGTATCAAACGGCAAAAGGCAGAGGTGATCATGATTGCTAATGAACATGTATCTAACTCAAGTGATAAAAACTTCAATTCTTGTACCTGGAAAGTCTAGCAAACATAATATTCTAACTGGTGAAAAAAAAAAGTGGTTTCAAGTTGTCATCACTGCCTTGTGCTATCAACACTGGAGTGTAATGCCTCAGTCTCTCTCTGTTGTAATTGAACTCTTTCATCAGACCCTAGGTGTGTTGTCTCAAGATGGCTTCCTGCGTTTTATTGACATTCATGCTTGCAAGCAACTGTTTGAAATAGGTGGTGCTGATGAGGTACTGTATCCTAATGAGAAAGTTTTAATTTGCTCTCCTTTTTTATTTTTTTTCATATTATTTTTTCTTTTTTTCTTGACTTGGCTTGCTTTTCCTTTACATTTGTAGTCCTTTACTATTTTTATGAGCGTGAACTTCTGTCTTTTATTCATTTTACCCATCGCTAACTGTGTCATGTTTCCTATTTAATAGCACTTTTCTCCAGCAAGCTAAACTATTTTACACATACATGTAAACCCAAATGTACGTTGATTACCCCCCACCCTCCCTCCCTTCCCAGAATGTTTTTTTTTTTTCATTTTCTATCGGGATGACAGTAATACCCAGGAGAAATTGGAAACAATGGTTTTGAAAATTATTTTTTGGGTAAACAAGGTGCATTATAGTCTACATCCATGTGAAAATGGTGAATACAAAGTAATTAATGAAAATAATGTTAAAATTAGTGTAAACAGCCCAAATGTACATCGCTGTTGTTTTAAAATATCCTTTTCTATACAATTTCATGCAGATGATTAGTAACTTCAGCATCAGTCCCAACGGACGGTATGTTGCTGCTGTAATGGACAATGGAAACATTAATGTCTACAGTGTTCCCGCGTTATCTCAACACTTTACCAAGGTAATTTGTACAGTGCCGTATGTGTATTCCCGACCTCAATAAAAATTAGGGAGTTTTGGTAACGGCGACGGCGACAGCAACGGCAACGAGAACGTCAAACAGCAATAGGTTTATTAAGCAAAACAACAAGTTTGCACGTGCATCACGCTTTTTTGTACATTTCTTTGCCGTTTCTGCACGATTACGACGCGAAAATGCCTAAATTCACGTTTTATGGAGGACGTAAACAAGCGACGACGAAACCCTCTTTCAATTTCTAAACTGGAGAGCGGTCCCCAAGAATTCAACTCCAGCCAAATTTGCCTACATTAGACATTTTCAGGAAATTAGAATAAATGCGACAAAGTTTCAAAAACCGCTAATTCGTTTTACAAGTGACGTGTTCGCTGTCGTCGCCGTTGTCGATGCTAAAACTCCCTAACATTGTATGTTGCTCCTGGATGCCTATTGCAGACCTGCACTATGTGTGCTTTTTTAACCTGATAGTTGTATACGAAAGTTTAGTTCTTGAGTCGCCATTTTTGGCACTAGGAACCATCTTGATACATCGCAAACAGTAAAAAACCTTAACCACCATCGTGCATGCTTGACAAGTTTGACAATCAGTGGAATAGAGAGTGGAATAAAATAAGTGCAGATATTAGATTGAGTTCTTGATTTATCTTTACAACAGTACCATAATTATCATTCATAGTAGGACAATGATAATTTTGTGGTAAGGAGAACACACGAATCATACTAGTTATCCGGGACAGCTGAATGTACATGTCTACCAGATAACATTTCTGCTCACAGTGTTCCATGGACAAAAGTCCAGGCAAGTCATCTTAAAAAAAAATAATAATTCACTGACCTACTGGGCGAGGATGTAATAGCCTCTGGGCAAGCAAAAATTTCTTCAAGAGCTCTGTTTAAGGGCTAGTTCAGTACTCTGTTGGACATGACTCTTTGAACGCTGCATTTTTTGACATTCTCGTTGTCGTCTACGTTGTGACGTCTTAAAATCCGTGAATACGTCACGTAGAGGTATATAAAGTTAATAAGTCTCGTTTATTTTTATTTTTTTAGTTGTAATTATATTTCACAAGAAAAATTATAAGTACACTGTAACATGATTCGACGTTTCTTTGTTAAATGCTTTAACATTAGCAACTGACCATCCGATATAATATTACATTACTACATTATTACTATGTACAGGGTGCAAAGAAAGCATTTACTAGCCCAAAAGTCATTTTAACTAGCAGTTGTTTTGATGAGCTACATTTTTTTTAGTTTTTTGGTGATTTGAACGAACTTCACTTGCCCATGGAGCAAGTTAAGAACGGAATTCGTTAGTCCAGTAGCAAAATCCACTAGCCTCGGACTATAGGACTCGCCCTTCTTTGCATGCATGCTGTATTGCTGTATTAACATCTAGTATACTGAAGGTCACAGTTATGTTGCTTCTGCTTTCTTGCAGCCACCCCCACCTCTGGTAAAAACTGTCTGGGAAGAGAGACCATCATCTCGGCAAAGTGGCAAGTCAGGTCGATCACTTGGAAGTACCATGACAAAGGTTGGAGGAACAGCAAAAAGGAGTAAGGTCAAGTCTCCAGCCAAAACAACTGCTCAGCGTATTGATGTGTCTGCATCTTGGACCGGTCCAGATTCAGGGATTGAGGTGTGGTGCCATATAGTTTTATTTTTTTAATTTCAAACTTTTATTAAGCGTTACAATACTAAAGTTACATGGCATTGCATAACATTGCATTACAATACATTAGAAATACATTACATTGCACTATAAACTTTAACACAGAAGTAAACATACAAGATGGAAAACGTTCGGAGTACACACGTTATTAGGGTGCAGAGTCCAAAGGCAAAGCCCACTTGTTAATGAATGTGTCGATTTTATTTGTTTTAACTCAAATACATGTAGACTTTTCTCTGTTTCATACTTAATTTTAACCTTGGGTGAAAACTAATAAAGGCAGTTATACTAACATGGAAGAGTCTGATTTCTTCCTCAACCCCATGAGTATAGTTTAGCGATCAGTATCAAATAATTAGGCAAAGGGCAATTTGTATTTAATAATCCTGTAATGACGTATGGTGCCATAAAGTTAAAAGAAAAACAACTAAACAGAACCAGGCAACCTTCTGATAAAGTTTTTATTTAAGGACAGTTCTGAAGCAACATTTCTTGGCCTTCTCCTTCATAAACAGAAAATTATTTATTCTTTTTATTTATTATTTATTCTTTGTTTAAATAAATAATTTAATCTTTATCAAATATTATCATATCCTCGCCTCAAACATAGGAAAATGTAATGTAAACCACAAGTAAAATTGAACCACACGATGTTTATCCTTGAATTGAAAACAATCCGAAAAATTTCAAACCCTGTTAAGTTACAAACAGCAAGTTGATTGTCTCAGTGTTATACACCTATAGAACTTGAAGTACTTACACACATTAAAGAGTGGTATTGTCCCAAGTTCAAACAAAGTTACCTCTTGTACTTTGAAACATTGTGTTATGGTATACATGTAAACATGTGCATACGGTTACTCAACTGAATTTTTTACATTCTGAACTGTCTTACACAGACTGAACTGCCAGAAGGCCTCAATCAAACAAGACTCAAGTCAATTCTTCAAGGTTATGGAGAATATCCTGCTAAATACAGGTACAGACAGTTTAAAGATGATTTGAATTGAGTTTTTGCCTACGTGATAATATCATGTACATCAGAAATATTGCTACAATGCAACCTTTCAGTGTTGGTACTGATGCTTTAGCAGCGGACTCAGGACAGTAATGTTATCGCATTTTTTGGCAATTTTTTCGGGGAATTAGCAGAAATAGGCCCCTCCATCAGGAACCCACTTGTAGTTTAAACCGTTATTTTCACTTGTCAGGCGAGAATTTTTTTCCTTCACAGCTATTCGGCTTGACCGCTATCTCGTTGGGTCATCTTTTTTCGAAAGAGAACTATTAAATTCTATCAAGTTACTAGTGGTGACGTTTCCGGTTAAAAATTTCGCATCTCTCAGGTGCAAACAAAGTTTTAAGAAAGAAAAATTGGTACGTACAAACTTTTAAAATTTATTGCCTATCTCTATTTTCTGTTGAAGTGCGAACAGGCCCATATGCGAGTTACAGCAATGTACCGGGTATAGTGTACGTCGCTCGTTTTGCTTCAATACCTTTTTATTTGTTAATTAAACTTTGTTTACCACTAAACAAACAGTAGAATACATTGCATGATCCTATACAATACACTAGTTAACAACAGTAGTGTGCTAATTGCACTAATTACAATACACAATAACGAAAAGAAAAGGGAAAAAATTTGAAAGGTGGAAAGCTGGTAGTTGAGCACAATTTCTCCTTTAAGGGACTAATGAGAGAATTCAGTAACGAGGAGTGCGAAGGAGAACTTTCAAGAATGCTTAATAATGTTAAACGGTACAGTCTTAAAAGCGAGCAGGACATTCAGGGATTGGTGCAATTACTCTTTTGCCTACGACTTGTCGGGAAAAAAAATTAATGGTGAAGAAAGTGACTAAAGGTTGCCACTTCTTTCAAAAAGAAAAAAGAGACTTGAGGACCTTCAACCTTCCAACCTTTCCACTATGTGAACTAAATTACGCCACTACTCTGGGGGAATAACCACACATATTAATAAACAACAACAACAAAAAACAAAAACAAAAAGAAAGAAAGAAAGAAAAAATACAAAGAAATGCAGCTTGCTGGCATACATTGTTTTTGCAGGATGTTCATTTGGCGGTCACTTCTTAAACTTCCCGAGAACCATGCGGCTTACAGTAGCTTGGTAGACAAAGGAACACACACTGCTTTTGCAAGACTGCATGAAGAATACCCAATAAAGAGCAGGAAACTTCTTAGAGTGCTTCAAAGGTTCGTACTAACCAGTAACGATCTCCACATGCCATATACACTATAGTCTACGACAGTCCCTAATTTTCGTGAGAGATTGTAGAACGAGCAAAATACGCGAGCAGGCGTCAAAATCAGCTCCCGTGAGGATGGTGAAACACTTTCTTGGCCTGCGTTGCTCCAGGATTTGTCACCACCTCTGCTTCATTCCACAGGTACTGTTTTGTTTTTTTAAGCTTGCGCCGCCAAAAGCAGTACTCCTTCACTCTGATCCCGCTAACTTTGAAAGCAACACTTCCGTCCATATGTCACCTTCGTCGTGAGTTGCGTTTTACAAGCAGGCGTGCGTTCAAGTATGTTGCTCGCTTTACTATCCTTAAGAAAAAAATTAAGATGGAGTCCCCTTATTCGTAGTCCCTATACATTTTGATCATGAATTTACAGTGGAACCTCGTTAATACGGTCACCAATGAGCCAAAAAAATTTGGCCGTGTGAACGAGGTTTTTTTAACAAGAAAATGCATGACCGCTTTGCAGGGCGGCCAAAACAAGTGGCCGTAATAACGAGGTGACCGTAAGGACAAAGGAACCACGTCAATACAGTCATCAATGGGCCCAAGAAATTTGGCCGTATTAACGGGTCACCGTATTAATGAGGGTTTTTTTACAAGGAAATGTTTGACCGTTTTGCAGGGCGGCCAAAAAAAGTGGCCCTAATAACGAGGTGACCGTATTACGGAGGTGGCCGTAAGGCGGGATTCCACTGTAGCCAGTCGTAGGCAGTTCATGACAGTATAATCTGGTACAACTATTACAACCATTGATTTTTAATGTCGCAGAAAAGTCACTGGTTTTCTAAAACGTAAGGAAATTCTCTTTTCAGGTTGCCCCCAAATAAAAGGCTCCCGTCAAACGCGTACAAGTTCATGTTATCCCCTTACGCAATCAAACAAGCCCCACCCACCCTCCCATCCCTGCTTTCAAGGATTTGCTCTGTTTTCTAAACAAGTAAACTTTCATTTATGCGCAGTCTACTAACTACAGTGGAACGTCGATATAACCAAAGGCCAAGGGACTGGCAAAATTTGTTCGCTGTAACGAGCTCTCGTTATATCGAGGTTTTTTTTCATGTACAGTCGACTCCCGATAACTCGAACCTTCAGGGGAAATCGAAAAAAGTTCGAGTTATCGGGAGCTCGAAGAAATAGCCGAGAGTAAGGTAAAAAAACAGTTTTTACTGCGCAGTGAACATTTTAATCACCTTTAATTGTAAAAATGTCAAGTGAAAATTAAAAGATACTTCTAGATTATAAATCAGAACGTAACGTAACAAACCATAGCCTAAATAGAGCATGCGTTTTACTGTTTTGAGAAGTAAAGCTGCTTCACGTTAGCCTGTGACAATCAATATCAGCCTCCACTAGTAAACTATACTCCTACAACACGTCAATAGGAAGTCCAAAATTCAATGTTTCGGACGCCAGTAGACGGCTTTTTTCCCGACTTTTTAAGGACTCAAAACATGATTCGAGTTATCGAGGGTAAAATTATATAGAAAATGACCTGAGGGGAAACGAAAATTGGTTCGAGTTAGCGGGAGTTCGAGTTATCGAGGGTTCGACGTACCGAAGGTAAAATTACAGTGAATGTATGACGAAAATCCAAAGGGAATCGATTTTGGTTCGAGTTAGCGCGAGGTTCGAGTTATCGGGAGTCGACTGTATTTTAATATTACAGGGGTAAAGAAAATCGTAAATGAGTAAAAACTATTTTTGTTAATTTGTTTTTGTAGAACATTATCAGCATTGGCCCACTGGTCTTCCATATTTGGAGAAGTTGATTACCTCGCTCTTTTGTCCTTTCCATTTGTTAAGCTGTTCCAGAACAATCAGTTGATCTGTTTTGAGATGATAGCAACGATCCTCAGTATGTTATGTTATACCTTCTTACAGTAATACTTTAGCCCCGCACTCCTGAGATTCTTTTTTTATAGCCAGTTTTGTTGCCCACGTTATCTTCTTTCGTATGGAATTGTGGTAGGCTAACTTTCTAGGAAAGGGACAAATTTAGTCTACAAAGAGTAGTAGGTGAATAGCGAAATTGGCAATGGATTTTCCCCAAAATTTTACTTGTTTTTTTTGTAAGGACATGTAACTCTGTCAAGTTTGGTCAGAATTTCCAAAAAAAAAGATCGATGGAAAGATCTATCCTGGCTGATGTTGCTGCTTACCAACTTAATAGCTAAAACTGAAAGCTAAATGAGTCCAGGACTGAAAATATGCATCATTCCAAATGGAGCGAAAACGATCAAAGAGGTTGTCAAAGGGTCTATTTAAGATACCTACATATATGTATCAACTGGCTAATATTATTGACACTCTGCAAAGTAATTCAGCTTGTTTTTATCCCGAGATTGCCTGTCGTCGTCGTTAATTAAAATATTGAAAGTCACCTGCGAAAGAACTGTTTTTATTAAATAGATCCCCAAAGTTTTCCATGATCATCTTGGTCATGGAAAACTTGATACTTTTGACATTACTTTTTGTGTTAATTATGTTCATTTTGATACTACAGTAGACGCTCTCTTGACTACACTCTCGTAAGCAGACAGCTCTACTTACGACCGCCGTCACAATACCCCGTTTTAGCCCCTATACACCCTCTATTTTTACACACCCGCGAGCGGACATTTTCGTAAGCTTCTCCGGACACTTTCAGGGTTTACGAGTAAGATTTTGGCATTGTTTTTCAGGTCCTTTAAGCGGACGTCCGAACTGAAATTTCATTCGCCTCTGAATCTTGTATTTTACTATAGATCAACCTTAAATCACTGTTCGTCACAATGTATTTATATAAATTTCAGTCTTTGTCGTTTTCACAAACACATTATTATACTTCAAAACACTAGTTAGTGGTAGCCAAACGCTAATAGCCGAACACTCTTTTTACATTTCTAATTTTTATGTGTAGCGGGGCAAGCTTCCTTAAGCGGCCATTTAACCCTTTCGCCTCCAGTAGCCGCATACGAGAACCATTCTCGTAAGCGGCCAGTTCCAGTTTCAAACACCTTTTTCGCGTTCCGAGGGTGTCCGCTGACGAGCTTCCGCCTTATTAACTGACATTATTTTTTTTTTTTTGTGAAATTATCAATTTTTTGCAGCAAACTGGTGCCAGCATTGGTTTGAGTTCTTTCCCAACCCTCCTGTAAACATACTCGGTATGGTTGAGAATCTGTTGGTACATCATGACAAGAGAATAATGCAACATTTTGTCAGCTGTAACGTCACATCACAAGTGAGTCCATTACTTAAGGGAATTCTCAATTGACATGTTGAAAGTATAAAAAGCCTTGGCAGGGTTGTCACTAAGATTTCAAGTTGCCAGGTTAATACAAAAAGTAGGCAGGGAATCAAACAGCTAAGGATTTCTTTTGGTTCTATTTTTCTTCTATTTTCCTATGAAAGTAGTCGGGGGCCACGTTCATAGTAGCCGGGGGAAATCTCCGGCCCCCGCCTCTTAATGACTGCCCTGCAGTTGGTTACACACACCGTGGGACAAGTAATTCCAGGTTATCCAGGCGGCATTTTTATTGCTGTATATTTCACGCTCGAGTTTGCTTTTCTCGATACTTCCCTGTGCACCGTTTTCGCGCGGGAAATTTCGTAGCCACCCCACTGATTGGTTGTTTTATAATGCTGCTCGCTGTGATTGGATGAAAAATCTCTAGTACCATCATCTTGGCCATTCAAAAGTAAACCAAAACTCGTCTTGACTTCAACTGATACTCACTTGCGTTCTCCCGCCTTTTGGCGCCGGCCGCTACATATAGTCCCGCTTTTTTGACGCCCCTGTTGCCGTTTTCGTCGTGGTTGCTTGCATGAATCTGCCTTGACACTTGATTGTTTTTGTCGTTTTACTATATCACCGTAATTACTTTGCTTTTGATATTAACAGTAACGAAAAAACTAATTGTTAAACGTGTTTATGTCCAGTATCAGATGCAATCGTTGTTTTGTTTTCAGATATACGCCTGGCCGCTGTTACAGACTCTGTTATCAGAGGTGCTTACCAAGGATGAATGGCTTAGGGCGTGGGACAACATCTTTTCCAACCATCCTTCATTCCTTCTATTTGTAGTAGTAGCTTATGTCATCGTTTCACGTAAGGTCCTGCTTCAGTGCTCGAGGAGAGAAGATTTCGAGGTTAGAATGATTTAAACTTTAATATGATTATGGCACCGATAAATGCCGAAAGCCGCAGCAAATTTTTCGGCACCGCTGGAAAGAGTGCCTTAAAGTTAGCAAACTGGCCAAATTGGAAAGAGATACGTCTTAAGTTTAATATGCTATCAGAGAGCTTAGCAACTGCGATGACGAAGCAGACAACGGCAACGATAACAATATAGAAAGGCTTATTGAGCAACACAACAACTCCGTACATGCAACACAGTTCTTTTTGAACCAAAACTTTTAACGCAACTCTTGGAAACGTAGGAGAACAGGAATAATCGCAATGAATTGGTTTGAAAGAAAGGCAACGCTTTCTGTACAGCACTGTTGTTGTTGTTGTTTCGAGTGGTGAGCGAAGCAAGCCGCGAGGGGCGCTTTTGCGTGCCGCTCTCATTTGACTTCTTACTTGACCATATTCCATCAAATGGAGAGCTTGCTCTCAGGATAAGCGCTGAATGAAAGTGCAGAGCGCGGGAAAAAGCATGGGCAAAAGCAACAAACATAAGTGTTTAATTGGTTAAGACAGGTATGCAAGATTTAGTAGCCAATCACAAAGTACGGCAGTGCGTTACATGGCCACAGCCGCGTCAGTGAACACCGCCTTGTGTATCTAAACACACTGTCTTTGTTTTCAACACAATTTTTTCCCTCCAGTATTTCTTTCATAACCGGAATGCGGTAGAGGTTGGCACAGTGATACGTGAAGCTTATCGTTTACAAGAGAGCACTCCAGCAGAAGTGAACCCAAAGAGAATGCTTGAGCCTTTCACTCCACTCACCAAAGGGCAATACCCAATCTTCAATAAATACCCCAAGTTTATTGTGGATTATCAGGTAAGCTGTTGACCGTCATTGAATTACTGCACTTTAAGTTCAACTGAAAGTTGTTGGAAGTGAACATTTAACTTAACTACAAGGGCATTTTTTTGGTCTCTAAATGTTTCGTCGGCAAATGTCATTTTGGTCTACATTGTTACTTTTGTCGGCAGGTCCAAGAAAGGGAACGTATTCGCCAGGAGGAGCTCGAATATTTGAGGCAGAGGTATGTAATGTCTTATGTGAAGACAAACGTCAATCACGCAGATACACAGTGTTGGGTTTATTAAAAAATCTGGGGTCTGTTTAATTAAACTTTTACAAGTGTAACTATTGTTTTCAGACTCTTTTTTCGACCTGCTCCCAGTTGGCTTGTTAGCTCAATTGGTAGAGCACTGCCCCGGCTTCGCAGAGGTCAAGGGTTCGAATCCCGTACAAGCCTAATTTTTTAAGGCTTTCTTTCGCAACTGCAAAAGTTGCGTCTATAACTGCGATGATCTTCTTTCATATAATGGCTGCACTTATAAAGTTTTTATCAAATTGACCCCAGATGTCTAATAATTTTTGTGAACGTTTGTACGTCTAGTAAGACGTATGTAAATTTGCAAAGTGTTAGGGAAACGAGTTCCCAAGGCAGTAGAGCTGAAAATAATACCTATGTACAAAGTTTAAAAATGCAAAACATTTTCTTTAGAAACGAGGTTTGGTGTTGAAATTTTCTTGTCTAACGAGAACGGGCATAAGGGCTATCTTGGTAACATCTCACTGTGAGTAGCAGATTAACATTAATTAAGTTTTTATGAACAAAAGGTGCCATAAAATAGCCCATTTCCGAGATACCCCCAAGCCTCTGTTTCAAAGCGAGGCTAAGAGCGAAGTTATTGATTTTAAAGTGATTTCTTATTTTCATGCAAATAAATTCATTTTCA